GGTAATTATAAAGTAAGAAGGTAGCAAATAACTTGTGAGTTGAAACAGCTTGAAGGCTAGCTTCCCAGTAAATCAATGAGCTTCTTGGAGAGCTCTCCAATGTGATCTTCAGCAATTAATGGAACATGTCATCATCATGTTCCTCAGCACACCACATGAAATAAAGCGATACAGAAGGATAAAGCTTGCTCAGGAAGGACAGGCAGGGAAAAAAGGGAGGAGGTGTTGCCTTATATATTGAAAATGTATACACTTGGACTGAGGTTGAGATGGAAATAGGAGACAGACTTGTTGAAAGTCTCTGGATAAATATAAAAGGGGTAAAAAACAAGGGTGATGTCACGGTAGGGGGTCTACTACAGACCACCTAACCAGGAACAAGAGGTGGATGAGGCTTTTTTTAAACAACGAACAAAATCATCCAAAGCACAGGACTTGGTGGTGATGGGGGACTTCAACTACACCAACATCTGTTGGGAAAATAACACAGCAGGGCACAGATTATCCAACAAGTTTTTGGAACGTATTGGAGACCATTTTTTATTTCAGAAGGTGGAGAAAGTTACTAGGGGAGAGGCTGTTCTAGATTTGATTTTGATTTTGGAGGAACTGGTTGAGAATTTGAAAGAGGACGGCAGCTTGGGTGAAAGTGATCATGAAATGAGAGAGTTCATGATTCTAAGGAATGGTAGGAGGGAGAACAGCACAATAAAGACAATGGATTTCCAGAAGGCAGACGTTAACAAACTCAGGGAGTTGGTAGGTAAGATCCCATGGAAAGCAAGTCTAAGGAGAAAAACAATTGAAGACAGTTGGCAGTTTTTCAGAGAGACATTATTAAGGGCACAAAATCAAACTATCCCACTGCATAGGAAAGATAGGAAGTATGGCAAGAGAACACCCTGGCTTAACCAGGAAATCTTCAATGATCTAAAACAGCAGTTCTCAAACTGTGAAACAGCAGTTCTAAAACTGTGGGTCGGGACCCCAAAGTGGGTTGCAACCCCATTTTAATGAGGTCATCGGGGTTGGCTTAGACTTGCTGGAATCTGGGACCGAAGCCCAAGCCCCACTGCTCAGGGCTGAAGCTGAAGCCCAAGGGCTTCACCCTGAGTGTTGGTGCTCAGGTTACAGTCCCCCTTAGGCCTCCCCCGCCCACCCAGGGCAGCGGGGCTTAGTCAGGCTCAGGCTTTGGTCCCCCCTCCTGGGGTCATGTAGTAATTTTTGCTATCAGAAGGGGGTCGCTGTGCAATGAAGTTTGAGAACCCTGATCTAAAAATCAAAAAAGAGTCCTGCAAAAAGTGGAAACTGGGTCAAATTACAAAGGATGAATATGAATAAATAACACAAGTATGTAGGGACAAAATTAGAAAGGCTAAAGCACAAAACAAGATCAAACTAGCTAGAGACATAAAGGGTAACAAGAAAACATTCTAAAAATACATTAGAAGCAAGAGGAAGACCAAAGACAGGGTAGGCCCATTACTCAATTAGAGGAGAAAAACAATAACAGAAAATGTGGAAATGGCAGAGTTGCTTAACGACTTCTTTGTTTCGGTTTTCACCAAGAAGGTTGGCGGTGATTGGACATCTAACATAGTGAATGCCAGTGAAAATGAGGTATGATCAGAAGAGGCTAAAATAGGGAAAGAAGAACAAGTTAAAAATTACTTAGACAAGTTAGATGTCTTCAAGTCACCAGGGCCTGATGAAATGCATCCTAGAATACTCAAGGAGCTGACTGAGGAGATAGCTGAGCCATTAGTGATTATCTTTGAAAAGTCACGGAAGACGGGAGAGACTCCAGAAGACTGGAAAAGGGCAAATATAGTGCCAATCTATAAAAAGGGAAATAAGGACAACCCGGGGAATTAGACCAGTCAGCTTAACTTCTGTACCTGGAAAGATAATGGAGCAAATAATTAAGCAATCAATTTGCAAACATCTAGAAGATAAGGTGATACGTAACAGTCAGCCTGGATTTGTCAAGAACAAATCGTGTCAAACCAATCCGATAGCTTTCTTTCACAGGGTAACAAGCCTCGTGGATGGGGGGAAGCAGTAGACGTGGTATATCTTGACTTTAGTAAGGCTTTTGATACTGTCTAGCAGTAGCTTGACCTTCTCATAAACAAACTAGGGAAATGTAGCCTAGATGGAGCTACTATAAGGTGGGTGCATAACTGGTTGGAAAATCGTTCCCAGAGAGTAGTTATCAGTGGTTCACAGTCATGCTGGAAGGGCATATCGAGTGGGGACCCACAGGGATCACTTCTGGGTCCAGTACTGTTCAATATCTTCATCAATGATTTAGATAATGGCATAGAGAGTACATTTATAAAGTTTGCGGATGATACCAAGCTGGGAGGGTTGCAAGTGCTTTGGAGAATAGATTATAATTCAAAATGATGTGGACAAACTGGAGAAATGGTCTGAAGTAAATAGGATGAAATTCAATAAGGACAAATGCAAAGTATTCCACTTAGGAAGGAACAATCAGTTGCACACATACAAAATGGGAAATGACTGCCTAAGGAGTACTGCTGAAAGGGATCTGGGGGTCATAGTGGACCACAAGCTAAATATGAGCCAACAGTGTAACACCGTTGAAAAAAAGTGAACATGATGCTGGGATGTATTAGCAGGAGTGTTGTAAGCAAGACACGAGAAATAATTCTTCCATTCTACTCTGCGCTGATTAGGCCTCAACTGGGGTATTGTGTCCAGTTCTGGGAGTCACATTTCAGGAAAGATGTGGACAAATTGAAGAAAATCCAGAGAACAGCAACAAAAATTATTAAAGGTCTACAAAACATGACCTATGAGAGAAGATTGAAAAAATTCGGTTTGTTTAGTCTGGAGAAGAGAAGACTGAGAGGAGACATGAGAACAGTTTTCAAGTACATAAAAGGTTGTTACAAGAAGGAGGGAGAAAAATTGTTCTTAACCTCTGAGGATAGAATAAGAAGCAATGGGCTTAAATTGCAGCAAGGGCGGTTTAGGTTGGACATTAGGAAAAACTTCCTAACTGTCAGGGTGGTTAAGCACTGGAATGAATTGCCTAGGGAAGTTGTGGAATCTCCATCATTGGAGATTTTTAAGAGCAGGTTAGACAAACACCTGTCAGGGATGGTCTAAATAATACTTAGTCCTGCTATGAGTGCAGGGGACTGGACTAGATGACCTCTCGAGGTCCCTTCCAGGCCTATGATTCTATAATAGGAGGCAATGGACACAACACAAAGCTTTTGCAGAGATTCTCCGAGTAGCCCATGTATCACAGACTGGATTGAATTAGTATGTTCAGAGGTAATAGGGAATTTTACAAATCCCAATCCTGTGAGGTGCTGAGCTCTTCTTGCAGAGTGCTGAGCATCTTCAACTCCTACTGCCTTCAGCGGAATTTGAGGGCACTCAGCAGCTTGAAGGATCAGCTTTGCAGCTTAAAGAGGGCTGAGAGAGTAAGACATAAATGCAGGGCCGGCTCCAGGCACCAGCCCTCCAAGCATGTGCTTGGGGCGGCACCTGGAGGGGGACGGCGCTCACCCGGGGAGAGCGGGGCCGCGGCCGGGCTCGCCACCCTCCTCCCGGCGCTCCGGCCGGCTGGGGAGAGCGGGCCCGCAGCCGGGCTCGCCGCCCTCCTCCTGGCGCTCCGGCCAGTCGGGGAGAGCGGGGCCCCGGCCGGGCTCGCCGCCCTCCCTGCGGCGCTCCGGCCGGCCGGGGAGAGCGGGGCCACGGCCGGGCTCGGTGCCCTCCCCTGCCGCGCTCCCCGTCTGGGGGGAGGGAGGGGCGGCGGGAGGCTTTTTTGCCTGGGGCGGCAAAAAAGCCAGAGCCGGCCCTGCATAAATGAATACAGAATACATCTCTTTCTCAGAAGTAACATGTAGGAGACCTAGGTTTGAATCTCAGACTATTTCTCAGTCCCGGAGCAGGGTGGTTGGGAGAAAAGCAATGGCAGCACACTCAGGGTACATCTACACAGCAAAAAAAAGACCTGCAGCAGCAAGTCTCAGAGCCCAGGTCAGCCGATTTGGGCTCATAGGGTGCGTGCTGCGGGGCTAAAGATAGTAGTGTAGATATTTGGGCTTGGGCTGGAGCCCAAGCTCTGAGACCCTCCACAAGCCCAAATCTGTTGACCCAGGCTCTGAGACTTGCGTTGCGAGGGTTTGTTTGTTTGTTTGTTTTTTGCTGTGTAGACATACCCACAGATCCCAGTGGCCTTGCCTGGCGTATCACTGCAACCTTGCATACCTGGCCTTGAGAATCACTATGGACACATTCACTGGACCTCCCAGACAGAGCGGAAACACAGTAATGTGTCTTCATACACTGAGAAAGAGAAGTGACTTAAGCAGGAAAAAGGAAGGTCTTGATGAAGGAGCAACTTTGATTTGAACCTAGGCCCCTGGAGATAGTAACCTGTAAGTAATTAATCACTGAAACAATTTACCAAGGGTCACGGTGGATTCTCCATCCCTGACAAGTTTTAAATTGAGATTGGATGTTTTTCTAAATATCTGCTCTAGGAATTATTTTGGAGAAGTTCTCTGGTCTGTTGTTATATAGGAGATCGGACTAAATGATCACAGTGGTCCCTTCTCGCCTTGGAATCTATAAATCTATGATCAGTTTGTAAAGATCACAATCTGGGGCAATACCAAGGCAGCAGAGCCAAAGAGAAGTTGGTTAAAACGTCAGGAAAATCTGGCAGAGGATGGACATGGCCAAAATTATTTTTAAACACATGGAAGATAGGGGAGGAAAAAAATATGCTAGCCTAGAACGGTGTACAAATGTACAAGACAGTCCTGTGTGTAATGATCTGCCTAAAACCCACCAGCTTTATTAAAACCTTTGTAAACTCTCTGCAGACCATTGATCAATCCTACCTATCAGCTAAATCTAAAATGTCAGGAACGGAATCTGCTCTCCCTCCAATTTTGAGAGGGAGAGAGAGAGAGAGATGGATGAATCTTGTGTGTACACAAATCATCTCATACCTTCTGGGTGAGTTCACTAGCTTCATTGATATAACGGTCTCTCTCTTTTTCCAGCTGGTAGATGATCTTCCTCTGCTTCTGAGCCTCATCCTTATAGTTCTGAATTTCTTCTTCCAAGTTCCTCTTGGACTGTTCGTGGAGCTTCACCAGGTTCAGCTGCTTTTGAGTGACACTGGCAGCCTTAAGCAAGTTCTGCAAAAAGAATCCCGAAACAATTACCATCCATGTCTGTCACTCCGAATGCTGCACTGTACACGCTATGTTAAACACTAGCTTCGGTCTGAGTGGGTGAAGGATGCCCTAGAGTCATTACACCTCATCAGATTCGCTAAATTAAAGACACTCGGTCTCCAAATATGACCATGAGAATGTCTCCATGAGTCTAAAGCAGTGGTCCCCCAACTTTTTACGGCATGCCCACCCTTACCCATAATATAATCTGTCCGTGCCCCCCCGGAAGCCAGGGCCAGGAACAGGACCATGGTCGGGGCCAGGGACCAAGGCCGGAGCAGGGGCTGTGGTTGGGGCCGCGGCTGGGAATGGAGCCACTGTTGAGGCCAGGAGTGGGGCCGAAGCCAGGAGTTGGGATAAGGTTGAAGGCCAAGGCCGGGAGCGGAGCTGCAGCTGGGCCATGGTGGGAGGCGTGGGCTGAGGCTGGGGGTGGGGCTGGGCCACAGCCAGGAGCTGGAGCGGAGCCACAGCTAGGATGCAGTCGGTGCTGACAGCTGGGGCCGTGGTCAGTAGCGGAGGTGTGGCCGGGAGCCATGGGCTCAGGTCAGGGTCAGGGCAGGGGCCAGGGATGGGGCTGGGGTCAGAAGTGGAGCTGGGGCCTGAGGCTGAGGACAGGGCCAGGAGCAGAGCCGGAGCTGGAGCTGGGAGCCAGAGCCGTGTCTGGGGGCAAGGCCGGAGTGAAGCTGGGGGCAAAGCAGGGCTGCTTAGCACTCCCTCCCCACCCCCAATGGGGGTTGGCCCAGGCTCCGCTGCACCCCGCCCTGAAAGTTCCTCTGCATGCCCCTAGGGGGGGCACACCCCACAGTTTGGAGACCACTGCACTAAAGAATGAGGCAGAGCCCTGTATTGGACTATTTTTTTAATCCTGCTCCCATCCCACCCTGCAATACCCACTCCCACCCACGCCCGCGTTGTTTCTTGCATTTTTATCCCGCTCCCACCCAAAACTTAGATCCCACAAATGCCGCAAGAGACAGATTCCCCATGCTACTTAAAAAACAACAAAACAAAAAGCAAAAAAACAACCCTCAGTTAATATATAATATACATAAAGGGAATTCGGACACAATTTTTACCACTCAAAGAATAAAACAAATCTCGCTTAAACCATGTAAAAAATACTTTAACTCCTGTTATAATAGACACTAAATTTCTTTCTATTCCTCACTTAAATTTAAGTATTAAAACCTTTATTTTTTTAAAAAAAAGAAAAACTTGCTTTACATTGCAGGAATTCTATTTATGATAAACTGAACCGAGATTTAGTTTTTTCCAGCAAATTACTGCAGTTTGGGGTTTTTTGCCCACACAGTATTGGCCTCAACAAAGTACATTTTACCCGCTCCCACTATTATAGCAGCAGGTCCTGTAGGACCCGTGAGCTCCCAGTCGTGCTAGAGGGCCCTAGAATGAGGCCATATTTTTGAATTGGAAGCTGGGATACTGATGTTTGCATTACAGAAGGAATGGAGAGGGTTGTTCAGGAGGGGGGATAATGAAGGCAGTGGGGAACACCTTCCAGTCTCATTTTCTAGTAACCAGGTTGAACTTGTAAACTGAGCAAGGCTGGCCTACAAGTCACAGAAGGAGAATAAACAGGACACCAAGATCTCAGTTTAATCAAGTTACTTTTCTAACCTCACTTTAAAAAATCCTTCAAAACTAAAGAATCAGTTTTTCACCTTCTTCAAAAGGTGACCCCGTAATAGACTCATTCAGGATGCAGAACAATGTTTGATTCTCAACCAAGTGAGGAACCTAAAGAATCACATTATAGAGTCAAATCTACCAAACTCAGTTTCGGAAATACCAATAAGCACAAGATATTATTGCCTGGTATAAGAACCCTGGACACATGAAAAATGGTCAGCATGAGAAATGAATCTAAATGGTGGCAGGAGAGATCAGGGTTAAAAACAGACAAGGCTGTGATGCAGACAGATGGTGTGTTTTTTATTAGCACAGCCCTAATTTGACTAGATTAACATTAAACTCAATATGTTGTAGATACTACAAGCAGAGGAGTAATCAACTGCTTAGAATATCAAATGACACGTTTGCAATAAAGGCAAATGCACATAACACTTACAGCCCCCTGCTGTTTTATATGCTAATACTAAGAAGTCCCTTTTGTGTTCACAGGTATAATGTTGTTTCAATTCATAGAAAGTGGGGGAGCATGGTTTAAGCTACAGACATCTCATATTCAAGGCAAGATATTTGTTTACCAGTGTTAGCAAAGCAAGCTCACCTTGTTTAATATGTCCCTTTCTCTCACCAGCTCATCTATGGCTTTCTTATCAATTTCTACCTGTCTTTTAGCAATCTCCAACTCTAAAAGCAAGAAAAAGACTATTAAACTCTGGGTTCAAATTGCGTAGCTGGAAAAAACAAAGGTCTGTGGACTTTTTAAAAAGCTTTATTAATATTATATAAATGGAGATATAATTTATGACCTCGATTTGCAAATTCAGGTGCCTAAATTTAGGGAAATTAATCCATATTTAGGCACTAGCGGAGCATTAGGCCAAGATTTTCAAAAGGGACTAGTGATTTTGGATGCCTCTGATTTTAACTTGAGACACCATAAAGGAGCTGGATTTTCAGAAAATGCTGTGCACTCTGAAAATCAGGTCATTTGAAGACATCTCAAGCTTGGCATCCAAATGGTGAGTCTCTTGAAATCACTAGTTCCTTTTGAACATATTGGATTTAGATTTATAGAGTTGTTTTAATCCCTCTTGGTCAAATCCAGGCCTGACATAAAAGGGCATAACTCCATTGGCTTCACTGGAGCTGGTCCCACTTAAGGCAATCTAGATTTGGCCCTTCATCCAAATAAACAGAAGAATAAATCACTAACAAAATAAGTAAGAGGAAATATGCGTCTGAAGGAGAAACTGACATGCTGATATCGGGAAGGCTGAGCTGCAGGCAACACAATGCACTGGAATGCATGAGAACCATCAAAGTTGCCAGGAGGTGCGTTATCTGTTGCCTTTCTCACCCATTCAAAGACAGAGCTGCATTTCCTGTGTCTTCCCTTTCACTCCAGCATGAGGCCCGATCTGATGAAGCAACAGCAGAATGGCTGTTCTCTTCGAGAGAGACCCTTACCTTTTCCAGTTATGGAGATATGAATATGAAAGACAGCATGTCCCATACATAAAGTCATATAAAATACTTCATGTCCCATATGTGCCGTCAGGTCAGTATACAACCTACAGACGAGGCAGAGCACAGGGAAGCTTTTACTGAGGCAACATGTCCACACTAGGTATATAGCAGAATGGGGCTTTATATTTCAGCACTTCGCTATCATTCAGTCTATTAAAACATTGTGCTAGAGTCATCTCTGTACTGGTATCATTGTAGGGGCACAAAACTGCTGGGGCAAAAGAATGCCCTGCTTGTGCCTTCTTCCAATCATCCCTCTGCATCAGGGGCTGGTGCACCGGCAACACAGACTGGCACAGAGACACACACCGTGAGGGTATTTCCTGGGGTGGGAAGGGTTACACCTGCCACACAAAGGGGCTGCAGATCAGGCCCTTTATATTTTCACCCAGCACATGCTGCACTGTGTGAAAATTCCAAAGACCTAGGAGACATATGTAAGGGCATTACAGCCATAGTGCCATGCAGGTCCCTTTCATATGGTCCCATACGGGGCACCGAAGAGGCATGAGCTTGACTTGGAGCATACACTAAATGAACATTATAACAAACAACACAACAGTGCCAACACAACACAACAGTGGCAACACAACAGTGCTTTGATTCCTACCTCTCTCTAGTCCAGAGATTTGGTTTTTTAGGGTATCCCTCTGGTGTTCTGCTTCAACTTTTTGTTCCTCTGCAACACGCAGTTTTCTCTGGATAACTTCTCTTACCTTGGAGAGTTTTGAAATTTCATGACGCATCTGAGTCACCTCATCCTCCCTCATCTGTGTAGAAACAGAAGGGAGAGCGGGTGAGAAGGACAATCCATTTAGAATCAATAAAAGGAAATGCTTCTTTGCTTAGCATATAGTTTCTTTACAGGACTCCGTGGCACAGGAGGCCACTAAGATGAATGCTGTGGCTGGATTTAGAAAAAGACTGGAGAATGGCACCACTATTAAAATAATTTAAACAAAGCCAGCTGAGGCAAGGAGAAAGGTAATCAAATCTCATGCTTCAGGGCATAAGAGAGATCAATAAAGAATTCCCAGCTGCAGTCCATGCACAGCACTGCACAACTGATTCCATGGATTAGGTCTGAGTAGCCTTGCCTTTCAATGAAACATCAGCTACTGGTGACTGATGGTCTGATCTGATTCTACATCCCTAAAAGCAGGAAGCTGTTAATCTACAACTTTAAAAACCAAATCTTTGAGTCCACATCACGTTATGGAATCAGGAAATGAAACTATTGATCCAAGACACTGCACTAAAATGTTGCCAGTAGCGATCACTGCACTAGTGACTGCAGCCAATTAATACATCAGAAATAATCCCCACATCTACTAAGAAACAAATATACAATTGCCCTGCAGTTGCAGCAACACCATCACATTTTAAGCCTTCCACATCACAGTGTGCACTGCCCCATTCATAGAATCAGTCACTACTAGGGACCTAATCCTGTGAGGTGCAAATACCTCCTGTGAGGAACTGTCAGCAGGACTTGGGCACACTCAAACACTGGACTTCAAGAAATTTGCAAACATTTCCATCACTCGGTGCTAGAGATGCTTAGTACAATGCTAGAGGTGTCTGCACACTGCAGGATCAGGCCCCACCTACAGCACCCACCATAATGGGGTCATGGCCCATGACTAGGGCACCCACAAGCTACCGCAATACAAATAAATAATAACTGGACAGCACCTTAACAATGAATTTTCAGAAATCTGTGCTCATAATCCGATGAAGTGTTGAGCTCCAACTTCCACTGAACTGAGGATCGGGCCCTTACACGGCTAATATCTGCCTTTCCACCCACCTTGAATCTTGTAATCAGTTCCCATTTGAACACATTGTTTGTTCAATTTTATGCAAAGATGATACTGCTGGGAATAACAATTATGCTAGCTAACCGGGCAGAGTAATCTGTTTTTTCAATAGGTAATAAAAGTGCCCTTCCAGTGTGCACAGCAATACAACAGAAAAAGAAACTCCTACAGTGAAATCTCACTGGGGTTCCGGAACAGGGTCTTTATGTTACATTAGCTCTGGACAGATCTTCTAACATGTCTGTTGTCGTTTGTTTTCATTGTTTTAACCAATAGTGCCCACTGCAAGAAAGCTTCCTATCAGCAACTGACTTCTTTTAATTAGCTGAATCAGTTGTACTTTACTAAAGTTTGATCACCTATTCCTTTTCTGTCCTGTTTTCTGACATAGCCAGTGTTGTAACTGCAGCCATGCTCTTGGCTGGGGGAGGACAGATTCAGCAGACATATAGTAATAATATCTACAGTGCCTTTCATTCCCAAAAGCTCTTGAAATGCTTTAAAAACCGTATGTAGCAGTCACTTTACCCACTGATGAAATGCAGCTACCTCTGGAGTGGTGCAAAACAGCTTTTTAACAGTGCACAGCAACACAAGATAACGGTTTAGGTCAGCAAGCAAACAACAACATACTGATTTGTATTTAACTTCCCCAATTGATGCCAAAGAGGAAATTTAAGAAGGCAGGATGTGGTTACCTACATTGGAATTTGGCTGGGGCAGTTATTATTCCTATATATTATTGGCTTCCCGCAGCACTCACAATATGCTAATCACTATACAAACATAAAGGAAGGCACAGCCTCTCCCCCAAAGGCCTTACAATCTAAAAAAAGCCTTTGCCTTTGTGAAAAATATCATGAGGTCTTTAATGATCACAAGTAATCAGGACCTCAGTTTTATGTCTCATCTGAAACAGCACAGTATGATCTGGTACTAGACTGGGATGCTGGTATAGTACTGACTCAGAGGGAAGAATGTCATCTACTGAATCACCAGCATCAAATTCCCGACAGCAGAGGGATATGTCTGATGCCATGCAAATATGAGCTGGTACTTACTTTCAGCTCCACTGTTTTCTGCTGGTTCTCCTGTGTTATTTGTTCAAAGGCCATGCTGTGCTGCTCGTTCTCTTGCTGGAGTTTAGAGTTTCTCGTCTGAAATTGCTCAAGTTCTTTGGCAGCTCTTTCATTCAGGATCTGTTAGATTATGAAACAATCCAGATAATTCTTTTAAATCTAATTCTAATGTATCTACATAGACAGACTGGCAGCACCTTGAGTCGCCCTGGGGGATCAGAGCTACTGAAGATTTTTCTCTTGATAGAAATTGTTCTTTATCCCTGATGAAATGATTAATGTGCCCAGAAATATGATAAATGTTCAACGGCTGGGAAAAATGACAAGGTAGCCAGCATCATTTTCTCTGGGAGCTTTGCAAGTCTCCCTCACAGGTGGTGGATAAATATTTTAATGCCTCTTTGCCATTTGGCAGGCATCACATACCCAGCAACTCGCTACAATCATTGCAAATGAGTATGAGATTCAAATAATTTTAATCATCTGAGGGGCAGGGGAGCTCTATTTTAGCCAGCAAATCCTACATTAATAGGCCTATAACACTTCCTGGAGTGCGCAGTTTGCTGACATCAGGGCACAGCTATTTTCCCCCTTTAATCTGTCTTCAATCAAAAGCCCAGAACAGCAGTTTCATGGTTTATACGGAGAATATATATTTCGATATTGGAGCTGCCAGACTTTTCTTCTGCTTGATGGGACTTCCCCTGGCAGACATTACTTTATAAGTGAGGAAAGAACTATCATCATATTTTTCGGTTCAAGCATCTATGTGTGGCAGATCAATGTGTACCGTGCTGTTTAAAAAAAAGGGTGTGTGGGGGATTTCCCACCCCCATTGCGTGCTGGGAGCACAGAGAGATATGGGAGGTGAGCATAGTGACTTCTGCAGCATAGAAGAGCCAGGACTCAGTTGTAATGACTATGAAAGGGATTCTTTATTGGAGCTGCTGCGGTTCTCTGACATAGGGTCATAGAATCACAGAAGATTAGGGTTGGAAGAGACCTCAGGAGGTCATCTAGTCCAACCCCCTGCTCTCCCTAAATCCTGGGCTAAGAAGCCATGGACAGAGTACGGAAGTGATGAGAAAGCATTAGAGAAGGGTATGACAGAGCATGTTCCAGTTGCTGTGTGTAATAAGGGCCTCTTGGGGATATCCGAGCTAATAAACCTTGGACTGGGTTTGGTGGATCCTGGAACTGTTCTCCAGGGCTGCGCCAGACCCAATCCCGTTTTGAGAAATAATCGAGTTTTCCCTTCAACTATTCATGTGAATTGTGTTTTATTTAGACTTTATACTGAATTAACAAAAACATTGACAAAGGCTTCTACCCACACTGACTCTTAGACCTGAGGGGACGATAGAACCATAAATTTATAAGACACACACAACTCCTCCAAAACTTTCCCTTGAGGAAACATTGCTTTATAATTATTAGATCTCTTATGCTATTTACTGAAATTGCTTCTGTGGGCGCTTCTCAGAGTCATGGGAAATAGATGAACGATACAAACTAGTAGCAAAACACTGCTTTAGGACTTTGCCAGAAAACCGGTTTGAAAACAGTACTTGGTTAAAAAAATAAAAAGACTTAAGACAATACTTCACACTCCTCTAGAGACTTTTATAATGTTTATACAAACATTCATTAGCTAAACTTCACCGTAAATTTGAGCCGTAGGTAAGTGTAATTTTTCCCAGTTTTCCGATGGGGAAACCAAAGCACAGAGGTTTCCCAACACAACACAGCAAGTCTTTTGCAGAACTGGGAATATAATCTGAGTCCAGACTGCCAGTCTGCTGCTCTGACCACTACATCACACCAGCTTTGGGATATTTGGTCCCAATCACTGTGGTCTTTGCGAGAAGAGTCCTAAAAATCGTCATCAACCAGGTGGAAAACCAAACGCCTTTAAGAGTGAAAAAAATAACTTGTCCATAAGAAAAGGATAATACTGGACTGTCATGCATTACTATTTTAATTAGGATTTAAACATCAAGACTGATATTTTCAACACAGCCTAAGGGATTTAGGCACTCTAATTCCCGTGGATTTCGTTTGCATTTGGGCACCTAAATCCTTTAGGTTCCAATGTAAATACCAGCCTAACATACTAACATGATTGAAGCAGAACATATCTGCATTCTGGCCAGAGTACAGAAAGTCGCCTTTTACCATACATAATGATCCTGAGGCCATTTCTTGCCACAAATCTTTAGGCACTACTCCTTGTTGATTTCAATGGGGGCTTCTGTTTAGTATGATATAGCCCCTCCAGTGACAGAGAGATCATCTTGATGATCTAATGGGTCTTCTCCATCCCTCCTTCTATTATGAATTTCCTCTGTGTCTGACATCTGACCCTGATACTATTACCAGTTTGTGTTGGAGATAACAGAATCACCTACTGTACCTTCTGTTCCTTGAGCTGCTGTTCCAGTTTTAGGAGCTCTTCTTTGTTCTTCAGCACATGCTGCTGCAGCGCCTTTATTTCACTCTGCTTGTTGTCCATTTCCACTTGAATGTGTTTAAGCTCCTTCTCCAGTTTGTCCTTCTTTCGAGACTCCCGGGATGCCTCATTCTGACGCATCTGGATTTCCTGCTGGAACTGCCATCACACAGTGACAGAAGAAAGAAAGAAGTTAGGGCCTTGCCTGTCTTTGATTCAAACAAATCAGGTACAGTTGCCCTTTATTCTTATTGTGCTTACCTTTGAGACCCAGTGGCTTTTGTTTAATACTGCCTTCCACTGGATGGAATACGGAAGAACCGCTCAGAGGTAAACAGGCTCCCCTCTTAGGAGAGCTATGTTTTTGGAACCCCAGATGATGGGCTCAAATGATGAATTACAAGGATTTCTTAGTCATCAATCACCATACCCTAAAAGAATCCAGCCAGAAGGCTCTGATGGATTCAACAGAGCTGAGGATACCTACCCCAGCTGAGAGTACCTGCCACCCAAACGCCATGGTTTTGACCCTGAGGACTAACAGCAAGAACATTCCAGTAGGGATCCGATGGGGCTTTTCGGATGTTTTCATTTGTAAGTTACCCCATCTGATCCTTGGTTTACAGTCACCACACTAACTTGGGCTCCAAGCTATGTTGCCAGGGCAATGGTTTTGCTTATTGTACCTCACCAAACAAGCCATTTTTATAAACATTTATTACACACAAGTAAACAGTAAAGAAGGAGGGGGAAGCCAGATCACCAAGGCAACATTCATTGCAACATCTGCTCTTACTCCCTGCCTCTCTCTATAATCTTTTAAAAGGAAAAGCCCCTCACTTAACAGACTATAATGGTGTCAACTATCTTTTGCCTCCCTGGCCCAGCACCCCTCAGAGCCAGCAGGGGACGGGGAAGAGTCCGGATGGGCTGGTCCACCACGGACCATTCTAACCAGCACAGAATAGAGCAGCCCTGTGCAGCTCCACCTGAGCCAAGGCCACCACTGCCTGCCCCTTCAGCTGTGCCAACCACGAGCTAAGGATGGAGCCCTCTGTCTCAGGGTTGTAGCTCAGTTTCTGGAAGGGCCAAAGCACGCTCCACGGCACACAACCTATCAGTGATGACGACCAATGAGCAAAAAGTTTGGCTCTCTGGTTCTGTTAAGCATCCCAGCTTTTTAAGGCTCCTTCCACTGATTCTCCCCTCCCTCTCTGTGGCCCTTCCCTACTCCTCCAATGTTTCCCTCCCTTCGATAAGCTCACAGACCACTCCCTCCTAATAGCCTTCAACAGACCTGGGTTCTCTCCCTGCTTAAGGTAGACAACAGTAGACAACAGCTCCTCTTCCCAATGACCACTGCCATCCCATGAAGATCTCATCATGCGACCTAGCAGATCCGATGGTCTACTTGTTGAGCCACGGATACTCTAATTTCAGATTTCATGGCTCTGTGCCTCAGAGGCAATGCGTGGCCCAGGAACACATGATCTGGACTTGCTAGAGTCTAGATAAAAGGTTGCCAGAAGTGATGGGCTTCTGGGACCCACTTCCTTTGGATGATCCCACTGAAGGGCCCCAGGGCAGGTTGCAGAGAGTGGACTGTGACTATGGTGAGAGCAGAGAAACAATGGGATCTGATTCCATGAAGAGTAAAACATACCTGTAAGTCTAAGGGCTGGGGAAGGTCTTCTCCAGTAAATGTCTGAAAATGTTTTCCCCTGCTTGATATCATCTACTCTCTGCTCAGGAAGTGAGAAACCAGGACTTGATATGGAACCCAGGTGTCCCACATGGCAGTGCAGAGCATGACCCCAGGCCTGCTTTACTGTTTATGCCTGACAAGAAGCCCTGGTGCTAGCTAGAAGGATATATCCACCTCTCTTTGTTTTTCCACTCTTGATTTCAGGTCTCTCCTTCTTGCCTCCTCTTCCTTCTGCTGTCTCTTTCTCCCCTCCAAAACACACTCTCATTATTTTCTTTCACCTCTCCTTCCCCTATTGAATTTCTCCTTTCTGCGTATGGGAGCCTCCCACTGTCCCCTGGCCTCTTGCTCTCTCCCCCTTTACATGTCCCCTTACATATTCTCAGCCTTCTACACCTCCAGCAGGCTTCTGTAGTAAGAGGAACATATTCACAGTATGATAACCCTCAAGGATAGGAAACCTCCTGCAGACACGGAAGCTTCAAATGCAGAAGGGGACAGCCTCAAAGCGAGAGGAAACTATGACTTAGATATCTCCTTCAAATGCAGGAGATTTGGCAACTCTGGAAGGAGTCAATAGTTGACAAACTGCTTTGCAAAGAAAATAGCAGAGAAATAAGGCAAAGGATGTAAAGCACTGATGATGAACTCCTCACTGAGCCTCCTGAAAAGGTCTGGGATGTGAAATGGCCGGTAGCAGCATAGTAGTTAATGGAGATCAATTACAAAGGTGGGGAATGGTTCAGGACAAAGACGACTACTGCAACCTGGTGAGCTGCACAGACCTGAGCAATGCTTTGTTCCGCCTCATTTTTTGCCCTCTCTGTTTCTTGCTGTTGCTCTGTAGCTTGGATTAGACTTTCACGTAACTTCACAACCTCTGACAGGAGCTGGTCTCGCTCCTTTGTTACTTCTTCCTTAAACCTCAGCAAATCCCGGATACTGGAAGAAAGGAAATAATAGTCAAGCAATGTCGCTGTCTCCTTTGGGCTCTCTCTGATACCAGAACAAGCTGTTTTGTGATGATTGGGAGTTTAAAAGTCACTTATTTCATTTTGAACAGATTTTGAATTAGTCCACTGCAGCTGCCAATCAAATACATGAGCTACCTACTATATTCATTAAAGAGTCATGATCAAGGCAGATAGACCCAAAATTTAACCTACCACTCCATAAATAATACTGTCTTTATTTTCACTGCCCTCTTGGGTCTAAAAATCCCACCAATTCCCCCAAACAAGGGTTGTAACAGACAAAAATTCCAGCTTCTCCACCCTGTGCCCCTTGGAAAGTCTTTCAGCCACCTCATTTTTGCACTATTTTCCAGGTTCCCTGTGCTGCTGCGTCCACTCTCTTTGCAACCCATCTGGCTGGGGTGACTGTACTGATGAGGTCTTGCTGCTGCACAAGTCATAAATAAATGACACTTCCTGATCTGAGGAGCTAGCAGTCAAACTCTCTTCGTATTATGGCAGCGCCTACAGGCCCCAACTGAAATCAGAGCCTGGGGGGGCCTGTCAGGGGGCAGGGGTGTGGAGAGTGGTCGGAGCAGTCAGGGGACAGGGAGCAGGGGGGGCAGATGGGTTGGGGGTTCTGGGGGGGGGGGGGGGGGGGCCGGGGGAGGGGTTGGGTGGGCGTGGGAGTCCCGGGGGCCTGTCTGGGGGCGGGGGTGTGGATAAGGGTCGGGGCAGTCAGGGGACAGGTAGGGGGTAAGGTCCTAGGGGGGCAGTTAGGGTGGGGGGGTCTCAGGAGGGGGCAATCAGGGGACAAGGAGCAGGGAGGCTTAGGTAGGGGGTGGGGTCCTGGGGGGCAGTTAGGGGCAGGGGTCCCAGGAGGGGGCAGTCAGGGGACAAGGAGCGGGGGGGGTTGGGGATTCTGAGGGGGGCAGTCAGGGGGCGGGAAGTGGGAGGGAGTGGATGGGGGCAGGGTGGGGGCGGGGCTGGGGTGGGGCTCCCCCCCCCCCGTGTCCTCTTTTTTGATTGTTGAAATATGGTAACCCTATTCAATGGGCATTGGATCAGGCTCTCTCTCCTTCATGGAGATAACTTACTTGTGCTCTTGACCCAGTGATAATCCAGATCCTTGCTCCACTAATTTAGTCAGGTTCATAATTTCCTCTTTCAGTGAGAGAATGGTTTCCTTTGCTTTCTGCTCCTTGTCATAGGCTGCATCCACCATTTTCCAGGCCTTTTCAATCTCCTGGGGAAATCATGGGAAAACAGTTTAGCAAATTAAATTGGATAGAAGTGAGGTTTTTACCCACGAAAGCTTATGCCCAAATAAATCTGTTAGTCTTTAAGGTGCCACCAGACTCCTTGTTGTTTTTTAAAATGAAAACTAATTATGTTTTGTCTTGGTTAATTAATAATACAGGTTTTGGTGGACTATTCGCTGTGGTCAGTGCATATTATACTAGGTCAGTCAAGCGCTATCCATTTATACTCAATTGAGGATCTGGTCCATTTTCTCTAATAGACACACTGGCCTTTACATTTGCAAAGTCTTGTTGTAAGATTTTGGTTGCATGACTCCCACTGAAGCCAATGGGAGTTTTATGGCCAAAAACTCACTCAACTCTGAGGCTACGTCTTCACTATGGGGGGGGTCGATTTAAGATACGCAAATTCAGCTACGCGAGTAGCATAGCTGAATTCGACGTATCCGAGTCAACTTACCCCGCTGTGAGGAGGGCGGCAAATTGACCTCCGCGGCTCCCGTCGACGGCGCTTACTCCTACCTCCGCTGGTGAAGTACAAGCGTTGATTCGGGGATCGATTGTCGCGTCGCGACAAGACGCGATAATTCGATCCCCAAGAGATCGATTTCTACCCGCCGATTCAGGCGGGTAGTGAAGACGTAGCCTGAGACTTCATGTCTTAAGGGATATTAAAAAAATCACAAATCTGTCTTAAAATGTTTCATCTACTCTAGTTACAAGTAACACCTAAAATCATTATAACTGAGATTAGAGTAGGAGAAAAAAGACTTTTTTCCAGTTTATTTTGTGCATTTGTTGACGGGACTGTCACAGATCAGTGCAACTGCACCTGTATTCCCTCTCCATGGTCCCTCAAGGCCATCCAATACCTGTCACAGAGACTATTTTCACAAAATCACTTCAGTTGTTTCCCGTGTAGAGTTAGTGCGGCCCTGCTTCAGCAAAGCACTTGAGCATGTGCCTAACTTTAAGCCCGTATATAGTCCTATTGACTTCACATGTCTTAGTTTAAGCAGTACACCTCTACCCCGATATAACATGAATTCAGATAAACGCGCTAAAGCAGTGCTCCGGGGGGGCGGGGCTGTGCACTCCGGTGGATCAAAGCAAGTTCGATATAACGCGGTTTCACCTATAACGCAGTAAGATTTTTTGGCTCCCAAGGACAGCGTTATATTGGGGTACAGGTGTACTTAGAGCTGTAATGGAACTACTCTGTGCTTACATTTAGGCAGATGTTTACATATTTTGCAGAATCGGAGTCCTAGTCAGCCTCCTTTGGTTGTAGGTGGGTTTTTGTTGTTGTTGTTGTTTTTTGGAGGGAGAGCTGGGGGGGTGTCTGGAGAGAGGAAAACTTTTTGTAATAGGAAAATGTGGTTGTGACACCACAAAAATTGCCAGATGACTAAGGCACAGTTGCCGTATCTGAAACTGCTTTTAACTTTTTTTTAAAATTTACTAGATTCCATGTTAAGAGTGTCCCTTTAATATCTTATGAAGGTTGTGTAACAAACAGATGGAAGTAAGGAAGTTAACAGTCAAGGCTGGTAATTGTCTCTAACTCTCAGTATTGTGGGAGAAGACAAGGAAGGCAAGCCAAAAGTACTAATTAAGAATCAAATGCCAGACTTACTAGGAGTTTGGAGACTTGTCTCAGATTTAGACCCCAAACCTTTCAGTGCAACTCTGTATAGACATTAGGGTCTGCGCTAGTAGATCCCGATATCAGGGCTCCCATCCAACTCCCACTAAAGTCATGGGGAATATTTTTATTAACTTCATTTGAAACTTGCAACTTTACTCAGGTGAGTATTCTCACAGAAGTCAATGGGGCTACTCAGGTAAGTAATGATTGCTCACCTGAAAGTAAAGGTTACAGGGTTGGGCCTGTAGATCCTTATGCTCTCTATGACAAAAATTCAGTTTGCATACACACTGATCTAGGGCAATATGTAAACAGGAGACATCCTGAATGGGATTTTGCAATTTACTTTAGCTGGAACAGGACCAAGCCTAATGTTACCTAATTGTAGTAATCTGTTTCTACCTTCAGGTGGAGGAATGGGAGGTTGCTTCTTTTACATTCAAGATTAAAAGAAAGGAAATTTCTGATGATGGAAACCTCTGTTTTTAAAAAATCACATATTACTCATTGGAAAGATAGGACTTGGAAAATACAGAGCATGTCATAATCTTTTAGATAATCAGATTATAATTAGTAATTTAAAAATGCATTGCAGTTTATTGCATAATTAACGCCAGAGACTAAGCTATACTTGATGTTTGTACTAACGGTCGTTCAGAAAATGTGTGGAAAAGATTTCTGGTAATTTTGAAGCAGCTAGTTCATAAACTGTAACTGCTTCACTGTACTGGTGTTTAAGTAACAAAAGTGATTGCACCCATTTAAATTTTTAAAGACTGAGGGCTTGCCTACACATTCAGTGTTGCAGTAGTGCTTAGTGAAGACACTACCTGCAGGGATGGGAGAGCTTCTCCCATTAGCATAATTAATCCACATCCCTGAGTGGTATCTATGTCAACGGGAGAAGCCCCCCCATTGACACAGCGTTGTCTACACCAAGAGTTCGGTCAGTATAACTGCATTGCTCAGGAGTGTGGATTTGCCACATCCCTGACTGATATAGTTATACCGACATAAGTCTGTAGTGTAGACCACGCCTGAAAATGAGTAGTGCTGGTTAACAGCTCTGGAGAATGAAGTCCTGTTAGCCAGAGCAAGGGCAGTGCAGGCTTCTGATGATGTCCCGCCATCCTAACCTGGTGGGACATCTCTAGAGGCAAGTGTGAAATTCATTCTCTGTGCTTCAATTCAGTACTTAGCTCTTTGTTGACAGTCACATCAGAGAAGCTATTATTTGAAGTATACATAAGAAAATGGATTGAAACCATAAAACACTGCGCTGAGCAGCCTCAAATGGTAACAACTATTGATCACTATTGACCTGGGCCACTTTCCTGCAATCTTTCTAAAGAGTCAGGCCTCTGCACCTGAACACTTCAACAGGACTTCACAAGGTGCCTGGGTCTGCTTCTGCTGTTCAGACTGCAGGACTAGGGCCTTCTTTTGGATTTGACCTAGTGATCTAGAAGGAAAAGGCTCTGCACCCATTACCTCCATGATCCAGCCACTCACCAACATTTAGGTCTTCATTTTTATTGTTTTTACAGGAACAGCCCCAAGAGAATTCTCCTTTCTCTAGCACACACTGTGACAAAAGACCCAGGGCACGGCCACAGCTGGCCCAAGTAAGCTTACTGAGGCTTGCGGGGTTCAGACACTGTGGCTATAAAACTGCAGTGTAGACATTCAGGCTAGGGCTAGAACCCTGTCTCTGAGACCCTGCAAGGATAGGAGGGGTCTCAGAGCACAACTCCAGCTCAAGCCCAAGTGTCTACACTGCAATTTTTAGCCCTGCAGCCTGAGCCCCGCAAGCCCAAGTCCGCTGACCTGGGCTCTGAGACTCGGCGCTGCAGGTTTTTCATTGCAGTATAGACATACCCACTGAACCATCAGCATGGATTGTTGATTTTGTTTTAATTTAGTAAAGGAAATATGCCTCAAAGTTCTATTGGGATTTGAATCTACTTGATCATTTGCATTATGCACATCTGACGAGCTTTTCAAAGTAACTAGCTAGTGAAATGACAGTGAAGAACAGTGAAATTAGGATTAGTCATAGGATTCCTTTTCAGACAGCAAAACAGCATGCAATTGTGAGGGTACGCTGAAAAAAATCAATAGCAACTGAAGAGTTTCTCAAAGACATGATAAGAACATTTTTGTAACAATGTCATAGTGATACCTGAATATTAGCCCAAAGATTAAGCCTGTTAGCCAAGCTGAACAATACCTGTGCTCTATGCTCCCACATCAGCACATCCCTGTGCTTTAAAAGGATAAGTTATGAGCTGCTTATTGTGCACTGTCTCTCTAACTGTAACGTATTGTCAAGCACCCTTCCCACGCCAGTCTCTCGGCTGCTACAATGGTGTGTGCTGTTACCCTGTACATCCCTTCAGCCTCATGGGTGCTGAGATTAGCAGAGATAATATCCTTCCCACTCTACCCCTCTTCAGCTTTATGGCATTTGTGAGAGGGTTTCTCTGCTACTCTATCACCCTCCCCAGCTTCCACTTTTTGAGTCTACTTCCCCATGAAGAGTTCCAGTGCCTGCCTCCACTCCTGCTGAGAGATTGCCCAGATAGGAGCAGAGTGAAATTGACATGATTCACATCAGTTTCACAACTGTCTACAAGGATCTGATTAGCAACAGGAAAAACCTGCAAGATTCTAGACCGTTTTCATTCTGCCGCAACTTAGGAAAGCCCTGAGCAGTAGCACAGGCACAATAACATCTCCTGGGTGTGGTGTTCTGTCCCATCTAGTGACACCGAGACCACTTAGAGAGCTATTAATGAGTCTACTCTACAGCCTTAGCTAAGAGGCATAGGGCTTTTAGCTCATGCAGTAGAGGCTCATGCACTGAGGTCCCATGTTCGATCCCGCCTGCCAATGACCAGGGTCTGTCAGTGTTACATCTGCAGACTTGGGATGACAGCACTCCCAAGAATTTACACTCAGATCACATATGGAAGGTTGTCTTCTCAAACATAAGGACAAAAAGCTTAGTATTTTTAATGAAAATTTACAAAAGTTGATGACACTCTCCTGGGGAAAAATCCTACTTGCAATAGGCAGGTGAATTTTTCATGTCTTGCCAATATTTAAAATGTATATAGCATTTCAGAAACATCAACTAAATAATCTCAAAATGCCCTTGTGAAGTATTTAATATTACTCCCATTTTACAGATAAATCAGCTTAGGCACAGAATTAGTAACTCCTTTGAAGCCAACAGAGTAAGAGTGGCTTGTGTAAATAAGCACAAAATTAGACTGATAGATGTTAAGAGACATGCCCAATGCAACTCAGCAAGTCAGTAGCAGAGCAGAGGTTAGACAGAAGGGTTCAGCTCCCAACTCTATACTCAGTCCACTAGCTCACATCACTTTGCTATTGCAGAACTACATCTTCAAGACATTGAACTGATGAAAATTTTCCCTCAGCTTACTTCTGGGTCCTCCATTAAATATTTTCTGCTCATATTTAATTCTATTTAAATTTTACCCTCTTCAGTGATGTTATCGTCGTCTGATCATCTTGAGAGAGCTTCAGGGCTGCAGCCACTTTAGCCGAATTCACCACAATCTCAGCATTCAGCTCCCTGCATTTTGACATGAGACGCCTTTCATTTTCGTAGGATTTCTTCATAACCGTGTGGAGCTTCTCATATTCTATCCGGAATTTCTCCAGACTTTTATCTCCCATAAGTTCACTGATGACTTCTTGGAAGTCTTTTTCCAGTGCTTCGAAGGCATTTTCTTCTACACACAGTCTGTCAGACCTTTCCTGTATTAAATAAGGTGGATAATCAATTAGCAAGAGGAGTTCAAAAATCTCAGTTTTTCCAGCCGATGACCACAAGAGATAACAGCAATATATTAATGACAGCTCATTGGTAACTAACCATGATGTAAACCTTCTGTGTAGCAGCTCCCTCCCGTATGAAATTCACATTCCAGTCTATTTTTTAAATAGATATCCATTAATTCTACTGAAATAACTTGATCTTCAAACAGTTGGAGCTGCTGAAATTGAGCATTACTACTCTAAAACTAGGTCTAAAAAGAAGCCACTGTTGCTATAACCTTTAAACTTGCATCAGCTACTTACTTAGCTGAGCATTTTAACCCCAATTCTTCTGTGTACCCCACATCCTCCAGTCAGATATATGCTCTCTGCAAAGATATTTCCAGCATATCATTGTCTCTCAGCTCTGCCACTGACAGTATCATCCCATTATCAGGAAGTTCTACAATTGGCCCTTTCACCCAGGGAGTTTTGATTAATCTCAGCTATGTGGACAAATTTTGCCAGCCTGGGGTCTGGAGACCCAACTCAACAGTTATTGATAGCATTTTCCTATTTTCATGGTAGTGAGAATTCCATGCTAGTCTGAGAAAACTACCCTCTCAAACCTTGCCCCCTCTCCCCGTCAAAAAACCCTATAGATATAGGTTACCAAGTCAGAACACTCAGGGCCACATTCTGCTCTCCTTACTCACACAAGTAGTCCCACTGATTCACAGGGGGAAACTTGGTGAATAAGAATAGCAGGATTTATTCCTCCCAATTACTTGGGATTACATGGAACCGAGTTTCTCAGGATATGTGGATAACCAGGATATGTGGACACCAGATCCTCACCCACCCATCCATCCACCAAAATTTAGGTAAATTCAGATCTAGATTTAAACCCTGTGATTCAGCCTTTTCTCTATGCCAAACTGAACTAGGACACTGAGTCCAAATCCTCCATATCTCTGCAGAGGTTCTGACTGGGATTTGATTCCAGATTCAAACCAGAGGTCCATCTTTATTTGAAATTCTGTAGGAATCATAGGATGAAACGGAGCAAAGGAAATGTAATCTGAATATCAGAAAAAGAAAAGAGTTCCCAACAGTGTGGAATAGTGGGAGCCGTAATCGGCCAAACCTGCAGCAGGCAAACAAACTGGCCCGGCCTGCCAGGGTGCTTACCCTGGCGGGCCGCGGGCCAAAGATTGCGGATCCCTGACTTAGAGATTAATGAGACTGCTACAGCATTAGTTAAGGGCCATGGGGCTTTTATCTCATGCAGTAGAGACTCATACACTAAGCTCCAGCGATCTTAGGTTTGAGATCCCACCCTGCAACAACTGGGACTGGGACTTGTCAGTGTTACCTCAGCCCACTGCACTGCTCTCATAGGGAGGAGGACGGGAGTGGGTCGCAAGGGGTGCCAGACCCAGCAAAGGAATGTCTTTATTAATTGGGTTGCTGAAGGGCACACTTTCAGCACGATCTTACCAAAGTTGCTGCTCCCAGATTATGACAGACATCCCTGTCTTTTCTCAGAGTACTTTAAACACCATGGTTAGGCACTTGGGGACACTTACATTGGTGACACTTACACAGGAGCGCCAAGCCACAGGGCTGAGATGGGCTGAGATGCTAATGAAGGAAGGGGCAGGACAGAGAGGGGGGAGGAGAGAAGGGGATAGGGAGGAGAGGGCAATGGGGGTAGCGAGGGGGGGTGCTCAGGGAGGGGGAGGGGATGGGGAGGAGGAGGAGGAGAGAAGGGGGGAAAGAGGGCGATGGGAAGAGGGGAGGGGAAGGGGAGAGGGGGAGGGGAGAAGAGGGGACAGAGAAGGCGATAGGGAGGAGAGGGCAATGGGGGTGGCGAGGAGGATGCTCAGGGAGGGGGAGGGGAGGAGGAGGAGAGAAGAGAGGGGAAGGGAAGGCGAGAGAGGGGTGCAGAGGAAGAT